CTTCCCCAACCTGTGAATTCCAATAAAGTAACAATTATTGGTAATAATAATGGTAATTATTAATATTCAATCATTGATTATTTTCATTTTTATTAATTTTAAAATTAACAATATCTGCTCTTGTGATAAATACTTTGTAGAATCTATACAAATTGATTTAGCTATTCCAGATTACTTACCTGAATAAGTTAAATCTTGTCATTTTATTACATGTTAAATTATTTATTATTTATTTTTATTTATCTGGCTATTATACTTGAGAATGATATTATATAATAACTTTGGATTTTTTTTTTCATTTTGAAATTCAGATGTCAAATATGCACATTAAAACAATGATTTTTGACAAAAAATAAATGGAATTTTTAATAATCATAAATGTACATAATTGCAGTATTACTTATTTTCTTACCTTTTCAAATCAATGATTTCATTTCTTTATAGCATTATCAAATGGATATTATTAAAAATTGAAGGAAATTTAAGTGTATTTATACTTCTTAAAGTATTACAAACAACAAGACTTTTTACATGATTTTGTCCAATAAAATATAATAAATAGAATGATTAATAATGAATGACTTATATTAATTACTAATATTAAATACCAAAATGCATCATTGATGATGTCATGATATAAAATGAATTAATTGGATCCAAGTTGGCCCTCAATTTACTATTACTATCTTCTATGGCATTTACTTGGATCATGTATATTATCATTTGCATATTCTCCCAAGCAAGCTGTGTTAAAGTCAGTTTTCTCTTTTAAAATTCTCTCCAACATTAGGAAGTTTTTCCTACATATGATTTACAGTCAAACATCATCACAACGGATCTCGCCACAGAGAATTTCTTGTTACAATGACATAACGGATTTTATTAATAAATTTGTTCCAGATTTTTGATGGAAGTCTTCTTCCTATATGGCTACTAGTCTCATAGCGGATCCACGTTACATGTAAAATGAATTAAAATAAATTGTACAACCCATGATTAATAAAAATTCCCAAGTTCCTAAATAAAATAAATAGTAAGATTCCGATGATCTGGAACCGCTGCAGAAATAGCATGATATTTTTATATGTAAAATCAAAACAAATGTCATTGGTAAATCATGCAAATATTTTATTGAAAAATAAAAAAAGATTTTTGTTTTTTTTATAAGAAGAAAACTTGGCGAGAGCTTTATTAAATGTATTATGTGTATTTTTAACTGCTTTACAAGCCTACCAAAAAAATATTCAATAGTAATCATAAAGTTACCGGAAAAACGGGCGCTTAGATTTAACATTCCACGCCTCTAAAGTTACTGATTCGAAATTTTGCAATTTTAATCGTTGTCCCGTGTGACATTTTATTTCAAAAAAAAATTTTTTAATACAAACTTTATTTGTTTATTTGCTAAAAAAAATTTTTTTAAAATTTTTTAAATTATTAAAAAATGAATAAATATTATTGATTAATTCCTGATGATTTATTAAAAGATAATAGAAATTCTTAAAAATTATATAGGTCACTGTTCTCTATCTTTCTCTATCTTTCTCTCTCTCTTTCTCTTTCCCTTTCCCTTTCCCTTTCTTTGCAAAACAAGGTCGGGCTCCTCTGGTATAATCAACTATTTTTTTGTTTCTTAAATCATCGGAACTGGGAATTTGTGGTACAGGTGATGGTTTCTCAATTGGATTTCTTGGTGAGTTTACAATTAAAGGTTTTGGAGGAAGTGGTGGTGGATAACTGTTTGGTTGAACATAAACTTCATCTGATTCTATCCCAGTTAAGGGAAAATAACAAATACCCATGATATAATCATCTGGATAATCACCATCCCATTGATGGTTCATAACTATTTTTGCATTATTTTTTAACCAGTGTACTTCACATTTTGGTTCTTGAATTAACAAACGAAATTTAAATATTCTAACAATATCTTTGATAAAATTTTCTGCTATATTTTCTGCAGTTTTTCTTTTATCATCATCTTTGATATAACGATATCCTGCCATCAATTGATTGAGTTTTAGTGCTGTGGATGATATGAATGGATGTACATTTTTATTTTCATTTTCATAAATCTCTGAAAATCCAAATTCACCTAATATACCATAAACTTGTTGACGTATTTTTGTTGAAATATCATCAACCATATTATTATTTTGTTTAAAACGACTATTATAAAATTTATCAAGTAAATCTATTAATTTATTTGTATAATATATAATATATTTTTCTTGATTATTAGGACTATTGGGATCATCATCATCTTTAATTTCAAGATAATCATTTACAAATTTAAAACCATTTTCTAAAACATAACGTTGTAAAACTGCTTTCATCAAAATTTTATCTGTTAGATTTTGAGTATCTAAATTATATTTTCCATATAATCCTTGAATTTTATCATTATCAATTTTTATATCACCTTTTAAAGTAGTAACATAGTCCTTAATTTTACACTGTAAAGAATTTATATCAGTTGAAAGTTGAACTGTGTCCTCCTCACTTGAATAATTATTCGACAGACCATCACCTAAAATAGGCTGATTAAATAAATTTGGATTTTCTAATCTTCTGTTTAATCTCTCTATAGCTTCAATCAAAACTCTGTTGGAATTTTCTGCTTCTGCCTTCAAACCTGCAATTATATTATTGTAAAATGCCTCAACTTCTTGTTTGTATTTAGCCATATTATTGTTATATTGTATTTCCATATTTTTAATTTTTTTATTGTACTTTGGCTCAATTTCATGTTGGTATCTGACCAACTCATTTTTATATGTAAAGTTTTCTGTCTCCAAAGTTCCAATTTTCTCTTTGTACTGGACTATTTCTTCGTCTAAGCTAGAAATTTTTTTGTTTAATTTTTGATTTTCCAGATTCAACTTGTTATAATTCTCTTCCAAGTTTTCCATCAATCCTTTGAAGTCACTACGACGAGGAGGATTTTGTTCTAGACAAGTTATTTAGGTTTTATATGTAACTTTTTCAATTAACATAACTTTTTTGAGATACATTCCAAATGTGCAAAATTATAAAAATCCTTACCATTTGAAATTCGAGGTTGAGACATTATTCAATATATCAAATACAAGTAACTTTTTAATAAAAAAAAATAAAAAAATAAAAAAAGTTCGAATTATAAATTTACTATGAACGATATTAATATATACTAATACGTGAGTGTTTAAACTTTTTTTCTGATTTACTTATTGTTTTCTTGCCTATTTTGGTAATTTTTGGTAATATATACACGAACACGAATGTTATTTTTATGTAACACAAGATAAAAAAATTTATCAATATTAATATTAATAAAAATGTCAACTCAAGAAAGTTTAGATAAGAACATAATCAATAAAAATTACAATAATATTGATAAAGATGATAGCGGAGATGATGCTAATAATAATGAACTTGATCAAACTTCAAGAACCTCTTCTGCGATGATATCCAAATTTATTATTTACTCATTTTTATCAGGAACGTTTGCAGCATTAGCATCAGTTTTTGGCAAACTTTCTACTGATACCAAGACTTTGAAAATTTTATGTAGCAATATAATGAATAACAAATATTATAATAATTATTATGTTCATTTTAAAAACGTTTTAATAGACTTTTTATTATGGGATTGTACAATGCTCTTGAGCGATGAGAATGGAGATGATGACGATGATGATAACATTGATACAAATTCATCATCTCGCTTTGTAAGGGATTTTATATGTGTGTATGTGTATATTTATTTATATTAAAAATTTTTTCTTTAACTCCATTATATTTTTTTTTATTAAAAAAGAAAAGAAATTATATATTCCCAGTCATTTTCTTTGGTCTGATATTTCTATGTAATGCATTGATGTGGGCATTTTTTACTAAAGCTTTAATCAAATCATCATCATCTCTTCAAGTCACTGTGTTGAATAGTACAACTAATTTTTGTATGACGGTTAGTTAGTTAGTTAATTAGTTAATGGAGTAATTAGATTAATTGTTTAGCTGGTTTTGTCCATTGATTATTTTTAATTTTAATCCCTTTTAGGCAATTTTGGGGTATTTAATATTTGGTGAATTGCTTAATTTACAATGGTGGCTTGGAGCAAGTTTAATTGTGATAGGCACAGCAATTGTGTTGATGAACAATCACAGTGATAATAGTAACAGCGACAATAATAATGACAATATTGACAATGTTGTGAGATCGAAGAAGTAACAACTCATTGTTAAGAAATACAAGGCAATTTTTATTCTTATTTAATGATATGTGGATAATAACATACAAATTTGCTGGATTATTTTTAATATTTCATTTAATAATATAAAAAAAAACGAATATATTATTATTCATTATCTTCTTCAGGATCTTCCCATATTGTAAAAGGAATTTTTATTGACTTTTGTTGTTCAATGGTGAATATATTATCATTGAAATGATTTGTAGAAGTTGTTGTGGTAGTAGTGGTAGATGGGAATGGCCAAGCAACATTTCTAAAGGAGTTGTTTTCATCATCAGGTACCGAATCTGGTGTCAATGTAAGATTATCATCACTTGAATCATCGTCATATATCGTGTTGTTATATTGAACTCTGTCATCCATGTTAAACACTTTTCGAACAAAAACAAAGTTAGATCGTCCTTCTGGATTCCACCATGTATTTTTAGATTGGACTGGTTCAAACGAGCCATTTGTTGGATTATTATTGTTGCTGTTGTTGTTATTATTCCTACTACTACTAATATTATTATCATGACTAGTACTAGTAATAATATTACTATCATTACTACTATTATTATTACCTGTACTGCTACTATCATTTTTATTAATATTATTGCTTCTATTATTACTATTGTTATTACTATAATTATAACTTTTAGATTTATAATTAGTTGGTTCATATTTTTTCATGATATCAGCCATTTCATCCGCCTCGTATTCAAGTATTTCAAAAGCTGCATTAGGGTGTGCTTTGGATATAGGATAATAATCCAAAACATTGGACACTTGTAGAAAATTAAAAGTTGATTTAGTTCCGTCATGACGTCTTTTTAATTTTTTGCTTGTAGAAGAAATTAAATCTTCGCCGAGTATTGAAGAAGGTGAATAATTTTCCTTTTCTTCTTGATTAACCACCACACCATTATCGCTAACCTCATCTTCCAAATCAAAATCTTTATCAACGACAAGCGAAGGATAATTGGACAAATCGTCATCTAAACTAGTAAGTTGATATGAAGGGGGTAAATTAGAAAAATCATTATTACTAAAAGTTATTTTTGTAGGTGTTGTTGAAAAAAAACGAGTATTTCTATTGAAATGCTTGTAAAAACTCTTTGAACTGCTCATAACGCGTAAATTGGTGAGAACCACGCGTAAAATGGGAATTATAATAATAATTACAAAAATTTATTTAACCCCTAAATACAACACGTTTTATTTTAATAATTTGGAAATAAAAAAAAAAATTATATTTATTTGATGAATCAATTGACCAAATAATGTGTTTGTCTTTTATGAAGTGAAAATGCCATATAAGTCTCGCAATTCGCAAATCTTGCATTTAATGAAGGATCTTGGAATAACTTGTCCTGTTGTTGAAGTAAATTGTATGGTAACTGGTTCGCCAATACCATTAAAATTGATGGGACTAAAAAAAGGACCAAAATTATTGATTGTATTAAGGTTATTGATATGATTATAAATATTCTTGTTATTGCTAAATCCTGTTGCGTTGATATTTGGAATTCTGTCTTTGATTGCTCGTCTGATTATTACGTTGTTCTTCTTTATTTCGTGAACGTTATTGTCTTTTGTTTTGCCCACTATTGTGTGTAACATGTCTCTATTTCATCCTGGATACATTTCATATTATGAACGTCTACTAAATGAATACCTATTATTATTAACCTCTTTACAGCTAGGACAACATCAGGAAAATAAATCTCATGTAAACCTACGTAGGGTTTAAAACTGACCAGCATTATGCGGAAATGTTAACAGAATTACCAAAATATCGACATAATGCTGGCCAATTCTGAACCCTACGTAGGTTTATGTAAGATTTATTTTCCTGGTGAAATGATTAGAACTGGGTGATAGGTTTTTGGATGATTGGAATCTTTATGATTGTTGAAAAAGGTGTATCACACACTTTGTAAGGAAATTGCGGACATACTATTTCAATGATATCATTAAGTTTCTTTGTCTCTCAAACCTAATAATAATGCCATTTTATTCTTTTGATTATTATTATTGTCACTAATATTGTTTTCTTCTTTTATGTCTGAAATTTGAATATTATTGCGAAATGTAATGCTCGGTTTTGGGATCAATAAAATTTCTCAAGTAGGGTTTCTATTCGAATAAGGTTTATTCTAATAAAATAATATATTAATATGTACAGTACAATCCAATTAAAATATTTTTTCTTTATCAATCGATTTTTCCTTCGCAGTCCTTGTATATAGTGATAATAATAATAAATAGTAGTAGCAGAAGTAATTAACATTTTCTTTTCTTTTCTTAAGTCATAATACTAGTAACCATAGTAGTAGTAGTAATGCGGATTATAATTATATTATCTTGTTAAGGGAAATAAGACCTTATTTATAAAGTTAAACAATAACAACAATAATAATATAGAATTTGTTGCATCAAGCTGTGAATTAATATTTTATATTTTATTATTATAAAACAAATAAAACGAGTAATTCGAATAAAACGAATAAAACAAATAAAACGAATAAAACGAATAAAACGAATAAAACGAATAATAATAATTCGAACAAAAATTTGTATTTGTATTACGAATAGAAACTCTAAAACGGCCGATTTCATCAACGTCATTACCATTGTCTCCCCATCATCTTTGTAGTCATCGTCATCATCCTTGTTTATCTTTAAATTAACAATTGTAAGTTATTTTCATTACCATTACCATTATTGGTAATACTATCGATGTTACGCCTTTTCTGATTTTCTTCTTTCTTATTAGTTCATTAGTAAATTCAAATGTTGAAGAAGTGCGTTCTGACCTTCTAAGACTATCCATGATTTCCTATCATCGAGAAAAATAAAATAAATACAAAAAAAAAAAGGAATTTAGATTTAGATACAGTCACAGCGGATGAACGGGACACATAAGAAAATTTTATTTAAAATCCATTATGACAAGAATTTAATTATAGTCTACTGTGGCGAGATCCACTGTGACAAGGTTTTGGCCGGCTGTAATTGACTTATAAATTTATTAGATATATACATTTTACATTTATCTCATATAATTTTCTCTAGAAAATAATTTTTTTTTTGAAAACAGTCTCGCAGAGATTCATAAATCCAAATATTTTAGATGAGACATTTGATACAATTAGATGATAATAAAATAAGAAGTTGTAATGGTCAGTCTATGATGGATAATAAAAACAAAAATATATATGTTTATTATATTTGGGTTGCAAGAAATTATGAAGTATTATCGATTTTCATTATCTCCGATTGATTTAATAATTTTAATAATATTATTGAGAGCTGCTGATATTAAAAAATGTTGACTGTGAAATATTTCAAATTATTCTAGAAAAATCTTGTTCAGAAGGAATTGCAAAAATGACAATGCAGATTTTCAAAAAAATTTGTTTTCTTTGGTTTTTTTTTTACAACATTCATATGTATGTGTGTATCAGTATGTTTATATTTAATATTTGAACAACTTGGTATTTTTTAAAAAAACAAAAGGTTTAAAACAGTGTCATCATCTTCAACTTCTAAAGTGTTCGATCCCTGGTTTTTTGTAATATTAAAGCCAAGTATCTTTTTCTTTTTCTTCTCTTTTTTTAGTAATAAAAATGATTAATTATAAATGGTGCACCCTTTACTGTTACCAACTTCCAAAAATGTGTAGGTCTCATTGTATACAAATTTAGATAGGACCACGGATAATTATAATTGAGGTCATATCGATATTAATATTGATATAGAATGACCAAATTTTTGCCCTGTTTATCTCAAATTCTAATTGATGGATCTATAAGATCTTGGTGTCAAAAGACTTCTCCTCTCTTTAAAAGCTGCAATTTTTACTATGTTGTTTGATAGTATAAATCGCGCGTTAGATACGACAAACATAGCTGAGCGCACATAAAAAATTATATATATGCAGATTTTTCACAATCAACTTGCCAAATAAACCTCTACTTAAAATTGGCATATGAACACTTCATAACATATACTCCAAAACAACGTTGTTAATCCTTATTTTATTTTATTTTATTTTATTAACCTTGATATTCAAGTTAAAACTCTAAACAAGAATAGAAAAATATAAAGACATTGAGTTAAAGAGTAAGCTACAAGCCTTCATTTGATATATTTTCATACGTGTAGAAGATTATCACGTTCTATATAGTATATATTGATATATTAATATAAATTTTTAAAACTAAAACAAGCAAATTTTATTTTTAGTATAATCATTTTGTACACACGATTGTTCAATGACTGCAGGGTTTCTATTCGTTTATTCGGATTATCCGTTTTATTCGTCACTCGAATAAATCGAATAAATCGAATAAACGCATAAATCGAATAAATCAAATAATCGAATAAATCGAATAAATTAATAAAACCAATAAATCGAATAATCGAATAAATTAATAAAATCAAAAAATGAATAAATGAATAAACTAATAAAACCAATAAAACCAATAAAACCAATAAACGAATAAGACGAATAAAAACGAATATTTATTTATTATTGCTATTATTATTATTTGTTAAATCGATCTGAATTTTTCCCAATAAAAAATCTTTACATATGATTTTTTATATATGCGCTCAATTATGTTTGGCGATATATGAAATCAAGTTTACAAAGTTCTATACCCATTGGAACTCAGATGCCAATCACTCATCACTTTAAAGTCTGGATAGAAGCTCATTTGAATGACTTTTGGAGCCATACAATCTTTAAAGACGAACAGCATTTGATATTTTTCATAACAAGATTCGTAGATGGCATAAAGGTAGACAAATACCAGTTCGCAGATTACCAAAATCATGGCAAAAGGTAATGACATTGAAGGATTTCATTGAAAGGTAAATCACCATTTTGTTTCACTAATGACTTATTATGTCGACATATTGCAGAACTAGCTTTTGTCTGCTGCGCAAAATTTGCATGGTAGAAATTGGCATTTGCAACAGGGTAATGATCCAAAGCATACATCACGCGTTGTGAAAACTTTCATTGCCGAAAACCATTCGCAAATATTGGAATATTGGAATTTATAACCGTAGGATTAACATGATTGACTGGCCACCAAACGGTCCTGATCTCAACTCAATATAGAACATGTGGCACGTTATGAAGAATACTGTTGAAAGAAGGATGCCTAAAAATGTTGATGAATCGAAGCAATTTATGGTTGAAGAATTCCTCATGAGACAGTTAAAAATATGGGTACGTATTACTTTACCGGCAATCACTTTACCGACGTATTATTTTACCGACAGTCCTTTTACCGAAAGTTCATTTTACCGACAGTTCAAATTTACATGTATTTTGGGTGGAGAATGTTTAAAATAATAAATCTAATTCAGATATTATTATGGTTGCACTAACAACTATATAAACACAAATTTTTATTAGCGAATAATTTTGGTTTAGTGATTTAAGAAAATCATTTTGCGGTCACGAGACTTTGAAGGTTGAGAAGGCGATCATTCCTGCATACAGTGTATTATATAAAATTAACCAATAATTGTAATTTTATTCTTTAAGAAAACTTTCAATTCGTTCATTTTTTAATATGTATATAAAAATTGCGTGTAATATATTTTTATTAAAATCTTAGTAACATAATTGATACATTTATTATCTACAATGTCTTCTTTTATTTGAAGATTGACTATTATCTTCTTCCAGATTATCAACATTCTTATCATTAAAATTATCAATGTCATCATCATCATCATCATCTATTACCCACGCAATAGCACGCTTTCCACCAACTTCTATTTCTTTTTTATTATCATTATTATTAGTATTATTGTTGCTATTTTTTAAACTTTTATTAATATCATGGATCTTATTAGTATTATTTTTATTATCATCGATTTTACAATTATTATAGTAAATTCCAGAACTGTCTTCTTCGTCATTAATTTCGATAATATTTGAAATATCTTGAGGACTAGCACCTGATCTTCTTTTTTGGGGAGGACTTGTACCCATAATATCAACGTCATCAATATCATTATTAATGAAATAATTTTCTTTTTGTGAATCCTTGTTAGCGGTGGATCGATGATCAATAAAATCATCCCAATCGGAATTATAGTCATAACCATAATCAAGATAACTATTCCGTGACAAAGATTCTTCTGATTCATTTATTTGATAATATCCTACTATATTGTTTTCAGGTTGTAACAGTTGTGGCACCGAGTAATCATAATTAGCACTGTTATTAATATTTTTAATATTATTACTATTGTTACTGTCATTATTATTATGGTTATTATAATCAAGTGCTATTTTTGTTGTTGTTGTTGTTGTTGTCGTTGTTGTTGTTGTTGCTGCTGCTGATATTGTTGCTGTTGTTTTTTTTGTTGCTGCTGCTATTGTTGTTTTTGTTGTTTTGGCTTTTGTTTTTTTTGTTCTAGGACTATTATTAATATTGGCCTTTGACGATAATGAAACTGCATCCTTTTCACTTAGTTGTTTTTTTAGTTTTTCAAGTAGTACATTTAAATACTTGTATTGATCAATATTTTCAAATCCACCTAAAATACTTATGTTTTCTGGTACAAGGCGAAAGTAACCTCTTAAAACTTGTACTTTACTTATAGATACCTTATTATATTAATAAATCAAATATTTAGTATAAATATTTATTTAAAAAAAATAACACATATTCACACATATACACACACATATATATATATTTAATAATTACCTTTGTTCCAATAGGTGTTAATAAACTTAAATCTTTTATAGGCTTATATTCCATTACATCAAAAAGTTGACTTCCATCAGATAAAATTAATTTAAGTAAAGAACGTGGAAGTATAATATTTACATCATTATTTTCTATTTTTTCACTAATATGCTTGTATTTATGACCTTGTTTAAACGATCCAGCTAGATAACTATTTACTATGTCAATTAGATTTAGTGTGGAAACACCAGTTTCTACAATGTCAACTATCTGTAAAACTACTGGCTTGTCCTCAGCAATCATTATAAGATGTGAGTCAATAATATTTCGTGGTATAGTTGGATAAATAGAATCTTTTAGATTGGATTTTAAGAATTCTTTATAGATTTTATTAAATAATTCATCTTTGTTATTAGTGTTGTTAGTGTTTTCGGAACAACTTTTTTGAACACGATCAGTAAGCCAGGCTTTTTTGATACGAATATTTAAATTCTCAAATTTACATTTGCAAAATGATACAAGTACGTCAATATTGTTAATATTATAGTCTAACATTTTTGATATTTTTTTTTTTTCAAAAAATTTTGTTGTTAAATTTAACTTTTTTTTTTTTGATAATGTGGATCATGACCAAAAAAAAAAAAAAAAATAAACATCCGAATTAAGAAAAACCGTGACACCAGGTCTGTTTGTACTCTTCCAGGAAACGATCTTTCTATATATAATTAGTTAATTTTACCAAGGACAATCAATAAGTTGTAACTATTCGATAAGATTGATTTATACCCAAAACGTTCAATGTACACTCGAACCTAATTTAAAATAATTAATACTCAATCAACAAAAAGAAAAAAGGTAGATTGGCCAATATCTCAGGCAATTTGCATTTGGATCTTTTCGAGGATAGGCATGTACACTTTGTCGGACCAAGTCGTGGAAGGTACGAACGAGTGTCACTTTTTCGCAAAGTCATTCCGTGATTCATGATCAGGAAAATGAAATAAAATATAGTGTGCCATTCATTAAACCTTATCAAACAAAATATTTTCTAATCACAAAAAAAAAAATTCAATTAACTACGGTAGAAGTTGCAGGTCAGGTACCCGGGGTGATAAAATACAACACGTACAAGAAGGGCATGATTTACTTTCTCGGAACTCTTATTGTCAAGAAGTTATTAAACCAAAAAAAATGTAAATGAACAATTATTATATTTGAAATTATAACTTTATATGGAAATTATTTTAATCATAATCACAAACCCAAAGACTTCAATTAAATTAATTTTCTAAAATAAAAAAAATTTAATTTATATAATTAATTAAATTGATGGTAATATTTTTTTTTTAAAATATTTTGCTCGGTTATTTTTTTCACCATCTTAAAGAGCGTAATAGGTGGATTCTTACTTAATGTGTAGTTAAGTATCCTTTTTGCTCATCTCTTTGTAAGTAGAGGCAATAATCATCGCAAATAAATTCATGATAACATATAACACAGATAGATGATGATGATGATGATATTGTACTGGATATTTTTTAGTTAACTGAAAACCTTCATTCCGCATCTTTTCTACTTAATTATATTTTGTTTAGTGAACTCAATACATACACGTAATAATAATAATAGTAAAATTTTTCTATCTATTCCATAGATCTTGGTTATGATTAGAGTTGTCCAACATGACCTTTTGTTCCTGTTAATTAATTCTTGTTATAATCATCGGGAAATATTTTAAATAAAAATTAATTAAATAAAAACTTTTTTTGCTGAAAAAGATTTTTTTTCGCGATCATAAAATTCAATCGGCGCGCAGCATGTTACACACACTGCGTGCCGATTGAATTTTACGGATGTATTAAATATGGAAATCGAATCTAGAAAAATCGAAACCCCTCCATTGATCAATAGGCCTTGGGAAAACTCTATTGAATGTAACTATCAACACTATGATTCAAAAGTACTTTTAAAAAGAGTGAGGGTGACTGCAACACTATATTTCGGGTTAATAGTGAAAAAGAAATTCAAATTGAAAAAATCACACACCATAGGGGCTGCTCGCCAATACATTTTTTAATTAGTCTTCATAAATCATCACTTTAACAGAAAAAACCCACCGACCGGCTTTCAACGTTCGAGTTAATATGATCAGGTGCGGTCACATACCGTGGAGTTTTCCCGGATCTGATTCATATAAATTTACATGATACTTGCTGCCTATTGAAAAAAAGAAATTTTTTCCAAGAGAAGCATAAATTATAATAACCGAAACAAATACTATTGAATTTTTCTCTTTCGTAATCTGTTGAGAATCTGTCAATTTCCTCAAGTATGCTCTTACTTAAATTTAAGGAAATTTATGTACCAGGAGTTCAAATTCGTTGGTCTTTTCTTTTTTTTTTTGCCTATCGCGAAGACCATCTTCTAGTACTATTTGCTTGATTCGCTGAGAAATATTCAAAGGGCCAGTGTGAACCCATGTGGAGAAATATATTAAAAGGAATGCGTTGAGCTACAGTGTGTCACGAAAAAAATGGCAATATTGCTTTTAATAAAAAAGTATCCAAAATCATCTCATAAAAATTATACCATAGAATCAAAATATCATGGATTATTATTTGTAAAAATTTTGAAGCATATTATTATATAGGCTTTAGAGAAATAATCACATTAAAAAAAAAATTTTTCAAAAATAATCAAATATCTTTTATTTTTAATTGACAAAGTTCTAGAAAATATGGAATCATGTAATTTTATATAGATAATTTTCAGAACTTAAGTTAAAAAATGATATGATTTTTTTGTATGATTATTATGTATGCTTTTGTGTTAGAACCTTTATTAAAAAATCCCATGTTAAAAATTTAATCAAGTTTAAAAAAAAAAGATGTGGATCAGCTTTACAAAAAACTGACAATAATATTTCATGTTTATTTTTCAATTTTTTACCTGTGCCATTTTTTTCGTGATACACTATATTTGCCAAGTATTTGCAGAGAGTTATCTTTATTAGGTGAATCTTTATTTGTATAAGACATTGCAACAAATTGTTAATAACAATCTTTTATTTTAATTTGTAAAGTATACTTGCTTTACTTAAATATATGGACAATGATTCATTGTATTCATTTATTCGTTGATTTTTTATTGGCTCTGACAAACTGACTAAATTATAAAAATTGAGGTGGGTGTTTGGATATAAAATTATGATTGGCTGATTTGAATTTCATATAAAAACCGGGGACCGGCATATTGAAATTTCGAAAATGCATCATGCAAAGTCACATGAAAATTACACGGGTTTCAAAAATAAATAGTTCGCTTTTGGGAGGAGTTATGATATATACAGAATTAATAAAATTAATTAAAATGCTAATAAATTAAATAGATATTTTATTTAAAAAGAATAATTTTTTATTTTATTAATACCAAATAATGTTATACAAAGAAAGAATTTAATGATGATGATGATGGTCGCGTAGCAATTCTTTCTGAATGTATATTTGTATATTACGCAATGGATTTAGAAATTACAAATTTGGTTATATTCCCTATACAGTGAGTGGGACATCTAATTAAAAAAGGATATTCTCCAAAAGAAGATATTTTGAAAAAATCTAACCGTCATTTTGTTTATCATAATAAGTAAAGCTATCAACTGATGATTAGGTTTTTTAATTCAGCCCGAGACATATTTAATTTAAAGTTTGGGCTAATTTATTATGTTTACTATGTTTGGAAAGGCCAAATTGAAAACATTGGACGGAAATATAGTTCCTAATTTGGAATATTTTGAAACTTGGACGTCTTTAATTCGGAAATTATTTAATTGAAACATTGTGAGCCCAACTGTACTATTACTAATATGTGAGGGAGACTTTATAGAAACATGCTAAAAGCAATTTGAGTTAATATCACTCACTAGAAACTTTAGAAACTATACCACTTTGTTTAATTAAAGGTTTGAAATGCAGATCTTTTTATCCATATTCATCACATGATTTTTTATTTATTATTACGAATTTTATTACACAAACTTGGTATTCTTCTTTTCTTCAAATTCTGACTTTAAGGGTTTTCTTTGCTGGAGGTTTTAGAAGACGGAGAGAAGAAGTGGATAAGTGCGCATCTACATTCATAAAAGATGAAGATGGAAATGGAAGTTCATATTCGTTTATAATTAAACATTCTCATTACAGAAGATGAAGTCGCATATTTAAAACTCTTGCATTTATTTGCCTTCTGTGCAAGGGTAATATTATTTAGGTGTTGGTTCAATCGAATTAATTGTTAACCACGACCTTTGATCTATTCTCTTTAAAAAGTCATCCCATTCATCTTCACATATCCAAACAAATTTGGAAAAGATAAACCTTTATGGGACTTGCTTATATTCTTAGTGTGTTTGGCGCAGTATGTAATTATATCTATCCTTTATTATTATTATTTATTTTCATCTCTGGACAGGCACAGTATTCTACTGTGGGTAAGCCAACATCAGTTAGTATTGGCTCTTTTTTTGTACAATTTTTTATTATCATTTATTTTTATTCTGAAAGTCCAATTCATATATATAACACATTACTAAAGAGATTATATTTCCAATAATATTACCTAAATATCCACCAATAACACAAGGAATAGGCCATTTCTATATGTGTGTACATATATTTAAAAGAAAAGTAAATAAATTTTAAATTAAAAAAAAAAATCACGGGATTTAAGTAATTATTTATTTATAGTTTACCTGCCATGGTCTATCCCAATCCAAAACAATCACAGATCCACTTAACCAAGCTCCAATAATCGTAGAAAATGTAGAATAAAATATCATTATTTCAGGAATTGATTCAGGACTTTTTTTTTTGAAAGTAAATTTTTTGCCTTTCAATAATATAGTTTGAATAATAATGATTATTATAATTGTAGCATAAAATCACCTGTAATCAGGAAATACTTTTATCCATAAAGATTTATGGTTCTTTAGTGTTGAAGCTGATGGAAATGTGGTGAGTAATGACATGTATAATCCAAATAACCAAGTATATAGAACATCACTTTTTATTTTTTTTTTTTAAAGAAAGAGTTAGAAAAAAGAAGAAATTAACAATTAATTAAATTTTTCCTACTTACTCAATCATAGGAGCGCCAAAAAATATAGCAACAATGTGATAACAACATGCACCAAAAAATGTTAATATAACGGCCATAAAAATATACTAAAGATATAAAGAACATTAATTATTTCATTATTTTCTTTTAGATATAAAAAATCAAACATACGGCTGATCTCGTCTTTATTAGATTTACAATCTTTGCTGTAAATCCATTGTTTGTCTGATCTCTGCCAATCTTCTCTTCGTATTCCAAGTATGCAAACCACCTGATTGTTTCACATAAAATTTGTTCAATGAAAAGTAGCTTGATGGTAACATTTAAACTTTCTAATGGATCATCAAAAAGATGTCCGTGTGGCAAGTAAAATAAACAAAGTGTAGAAAGTGTTATATGTAAGAAGGTTATTAGTACATGTGGAATTAATCTAAATCGAATGTTCTTGTAATTGTTATATGCTTGTGAATTTGATATTGCAGATGCACCGGACGAGGATGCAGATGTTGACATTTTATTTAAATCAAAAAAAAAAAATGTTTAGTACTACAAAATTTCTACTTTTTCAAATTTAGAGAAGATTTGCTACCAACATTGACGAGCAAAAAAATATATGTAATTTTATTGCCTTTTTCATAAATAATTTAATAATTTATTGTAATGCATTCAGAAATAGATCAGTCTAGATTTACTAGGCGTTTAATTTAAAATCGAGATTTATTTACCCCAGCCTTTTATGAATACTGATCGTGTAATGTAAGTGATCAACATATAAAAAAAAAATGTTCAATATTTCTCGGAAAATCAATAATGGGCTCGGTTGGACGACCTATATATTTATTTATTTGTTAGTTAGCACAACATATTTCATTAAAAAAGAAATGACCACATGATTATTTTTCTATAAAAAGAAGATTTTTGACAAAGAAATTTGTTGCAATTATGAAAATTCCCGATTATTATTAGCTAAAAGTTTTTTGCAAATTCTACGTTTTTCAAGAAAAGATAAATTTTTTTTTGCTCTTTTTTTTGTCAATTGAAATCTTATTATCATCTGTATTTCTACGCTTAATTTGAAAACTTGGATTCGTGTTTTATGTTAACAAGGGAAAATACTACTTGCGTAATAGTAATATTTTAATGGTTACACGAGATATGAATTTAAAGAGAGATTTTTTATATAATGGCATATAATAAAAGCAAGAGAGTTATGATTTTATCGATTGTCGAGATTTTACTATGATTATGAAAATATCGAATAGAATTTTAATGTAATTGGCATTGGTTCCTGAAAAAATTATGAATTTAGGCGACCATGAATTTATCTAATATCAATTTAACTGTATAAAGCTTTTTTTAGTATAGTATCGCGTGAATTACTAAGCTCCCCAATTCAAAAATCTCAAGCGAATGATGTCAAGTTATCCGAACCAATTATAGAAGTTATCATTGTCGTCGATATTGTAAACATTTATGCGATTTATCAATCGGTGATCTATAATCAATGATTTAAGTTTTTTCGATTTCAATAGTATGTGACACACAATCACATCATCTAACCGCTAATCGAGAATCGCATTTGAAAATAATATATATTTCATATTTATCTATTTTTAATTTTATTTTCAATTTTTCCCTTCCAACTCGTAAAAAAAATTTTTTTAAAAAAATAGAAATATGTCTTCTGTTCAATTGACTACAGTTGAGAGTTTTAAAGAATTTGTTATTGAATCAATATCACAAAACTTTAAAGAACAATTGTCGTTTTTGGATAAAATTCCAGAAAAAGGTTTGTTAAGAGTTATATATTTTATTAGTGAAATAAGGACATTGTTATTTTATCAATTAGTTGAGTGAAAACATTTTTTTTTAGAATTCGAAAAAAATTACTTTGAAGAAAATACAAAAGGACAATTGAGAAATTTAAAACGAAAAAAATCAGGTATTAATATAATTAATTATTTCCAAGTGCATTTTATATGCATAAATTGAATTAATTGAAATTTCTAAATTAAAAGTTGAAAATGAAAATAAAATAGAAATTGTTAGTGATTATGAAGAGTCAACGTCAATTAGTCAAGAACCGATTACTTCGTCAACGAGTCCTTTACCATCGTCATCCACTCTTTCTCTACCTCCTATCTCACATTCTTCATCATCGCCATCATCACCATCATCACCATCATCATCATCGCTGGCTACGAGCGCAACCACTACCATTTTGACAACAGCAACTGCTACAACAATTACAACGACTACTACACTGAAGCCACAATTGCAACTACCACAAAAAAAGATTAGATTTACAACATCACAATTTTCTCCCTATTATGAAACGACTAATAATAACGGCAACTACAGCAACGATAATAGCGACAATAATAAAAGCACGTACTCAATTGAAGCCATATCACGTGCTAAAAACACTATAGCATTTTTTAGAGCTTTAAATTCAGGATATTTTCGTAATTTGGATCCAAATAGTTTTGTGGTTATATCAGACGGAAAATTACTAGGAATATATCCTAATGAAGATCAAGCGGAAGCTATGATTAGGAAAGTAATTGCTTCTAGATCTAATTTTTCCATCACAAATCTTCATCATAACGACGAAAATAATAATGACCATTTGTTGCACGATGTAATGATCATGATGTTTCCGATATCTGGAAATTTTAAGAAAAAACCTTCGAACCTATACATTAATTTTAATGATGTTCTTCATAATGATAGTAACAGTGACAGTAATAGTAGCATCAAGTAGTGTTAACAACATCAATGGTAATAGTAATAATAATTTCTTAATAGTAGTAATATTGACAATAATTCCAACTCTTAAACAATAGTCTTAAATTATCCAATATTTTTTTTTTAATTTTTTTTTCTTAGTAAATTAAGACTGAATATGATTAAATACGAATGAATATCTTGCCGAAAAATAAAATTTAGATTTTTTTTTGTATCTTTAAGCTTCATATACAGTAACCTATTATTATATGTAGGAATATAATTATGTATTCAATTAATAATTTATTTATTTATTATTATTTATATAATAAGTTTTGTTTATAATAAATCCCAAATCAAATATGATTTTTATGGAAAAAGTGTTACATGTATTTGTTATTTACATTTGTTTTTTTGTTACAATGAATCACATTACAATATCTAATATTTATATGCAACGTGCAGGTAAATATATCCTTATTGAGCGGGATTCGTGGTCTGTTTATACATAGAAAATGTCAAAAAAAAAAAAAGGGAAAATTTCATGCTACCAAAATATGAAAAATAAAACGGATGTTACACCATGACAGAGTTTTTCCTTTGGATAAATATGGTTTAATGATGATTTTTTAAAATAAAAATTTAGATAATTAAAATTAATAAATTAATAAAATTAATATAAATACATGGAAATTTTAGTGTACAACAATGTAAACAAGAAAAAAAGGCATGTGTCATTATACATTGCACATATATTGAACATTATGTAATTATAGCTAATAATAATGCAAATCCATTTCGTCATCAATATATTTAAATAACAATTATGGTAACAAATAAACAAATAAACAAAAAATTGAGGAAATAAATAAATGTGAATTTTATTTATCGAGTGCGTTTTATTCCTCCACGATATTTTTACCTTCACATATAATAGTAATAATGATAATAATAATTAATAATGATACACATAATAAAATGAATTCTTAATATCTTAATTTGTTGGAAGGATTTTTGTGTTTTTACATAATTGCTTTATACATAAATAATAATAATCTAATCTAATCGAAATTTTTTGAATGTGTTTGTGTTTTATGGGGGAAAGAATTATCTATATTTATATTACAAAATTTATATTTATATATTTATATACTATATATATATTATAGTTAGTATATGAAAAAAAATCAATCACGAAAAATTTTAATAAAGAAATTTTAATATTTACAATCTTAAAAAAAAAAAAAAAAAGGTTTTTAAAACAAAATAACGATGATTTTTATTTTTATTTTCTAGGAGTCGCTAATTTCCGTCGATATTGTTAAAATAAGTGGAGATGAAGTAATCCGACATTTTTCTGTAAAATCACGGATGATTGATTAATCAACTATTGACGTTAACGATGACGACGACAAATCGCTGTTGTTGGACGTAATGGCTGTTGTAGTGGTAATTTTTAATGACACTTTTTCAAGTTCGGCTTGGATTTTTGATGGGTTTGCAGGTTTTCCAACATATCCGATCTTTTTTTTTTTTTTTGATAAAATTAAATAGCAATTAATTAAAATAAGTAAAACATATATTGGGTAAAAGAGAGAAAGAGAGAAATAAGATATTTACCATTCCTGCCTTTGAATATTCGTTATCCCATTGATTGGTGGTATAGGCGATAACTGGAACGTGGACGTTTTCTTTCAATATCGTGTCTGAATTACGAATTGCCAACGTTGTTTCTATCCCGGTTAAATTTGGCATGTCGACATCCATAAATACTAAATTAAAATGTTCTTTCGATAATAAATTTAAAGCTTTTTCGCCGCTTTTCACGCACGAGACATCATGTTTAAAATATTTCCGAAGCATCCTTTTCAATATTGTTCCAGTTAATGGATTATCATCAACTATTAACGTCCTTTTGAAAAGTGTCAACGGCGATGACGATAACAAAGTAGAAGTCGTTGTGGAAGATGTGGTTGTCGTCGTTGCCATTGTTGTTGTCGTAGTGTTAGTGGTATTTCGTAGCAAATCGGTTGTTGTGTTATCCATTAATTTTGTTATGGCTAATGTTGTTTTAGTTAATATTCTGGTTTTCGATTTTGGTTTTAATGTCGCCGTCATCGTTGTGGTGGTGGTCATTGTGGTTGTAGCGGTAGCTGTCATCATCAAAACATATTGCGAGTCATTTAATTTTAACATGAAAAATAAGAAGTATATATACTATGTTGGTAATAAATCACGATGACATAAAAGAAGGGAACACGATAATGTGAGAAAATAAAATATGGAAAGGGGTAATAACACCACACACAAATAAAGATAATTGACGATTTTTCTAAATAATTAATTTTCTATTTTCTATATTAATAATATTTTTAGAAATTATTTAAAAAAAGGAATTTATTTTTTTAGTCGAAAAAAAAATAAAAAAATTTATATTTATATTCTGAAAAAATAAAAAAAGTAAAAACGAATCATTAATAATAATAATAAAGAAAAATTATTATATTATTTAAGATTTAAAAAAAAAAAAAGTTGTGATTGTGTGTGATTGTTTTTTATTGCGTGTGTTGAATATGTAAAAAGGAACAAAATAAAAAAAAAATTTTAAAAAATTTTAAATCCTTTTATATTAAATATTTTACTAATTTTTGATTTATTTCTTTTTTATTTTAATTTTAAATAAATTATTTGATCTAAAATATTATTTATATTTATATTTATTATAATATGATATTAATACAGCAACAACAACCTTTTGCTTTGATGTGCAATTTAAAATAAAGTATTTTTTTTTTTTATGCATATAAAATAAAAAAAATAATAATTTATTTATTGTCTGTTTAAATAAATCGAATTCGAATTGATTGATTGGGGAATTTTTTTTTCAAACAAAAACTTGAAACCAACAAATGTATGATTAAATCATCAAGCGTCCCAATTTGTATAATATTTACATATTTGTATATTCACAAATATTAATTATATGTATTTGAATGTTTGATTTAATTTTGTACAATCATTGGAGGAAAAGAAGAAAAATTTGACCAATAAAATTAACGATTAATCAAAAGAAAAATAATCGTGGAAAATTTATTGAATTCTAGAATTTTATTTCTTAAAAATATAATATATTTAAACACGTGTGTATATATATTATTATGCATACATACAATCTTTCTATTATATTATATACATATCGTATGGTGGTGAATAGAATTTTAAATAAATAATTATTATTGATAATAAAACCTTAATCTTTGTAATACACGCTGCCATTTCTCCCGAGACTTGTTTATTTCAAGTTATTAATGATTTTTTTTCTTTAATCATGTTTCACGTTATTATGATTTGTGTATACGTAATCTATCATTATGCTGTATACGTAAGTATGTGCGTGCCAATACTGTTGCTTAATTCATAAATATAATCTCTTATTTTTTATTTTTATAAATCTCATTGTGGCTGATGGAGAGAGGTCAATGTATTGTTATTTTCTTTGTAAAGCTTGTTGTTGTTGTTGTTTTTAGTCCTTATTCAATTACCGTTAATTCGAATAACAATGATAACTACAAAGAGACAATTCTAATTCTAACAATATTAATAATTTTATTCTTGTCACTTGCCAAGCAAGTCCAAGAAGAAATTTTTCCATTAAAATTTGCATTCAAAAAATTTTATCATTCATTATATGCGCCACAATCAATAAATCCAAGAAAACTCTCGTGTTAGTTCTTTTTCTAAATCTAGCAAACAAACAATAAATTTTTTAAATATGGATTGAATGGAGAAAGAAGACTGGTGATGTCATTATCCCAAACATTTAATTACCAGCCCTTTTCCAAGATTTTATTTCGGTTCATGCTTGCATGTGTGGCTAGAACGAAAATCAAATTTAAGGTTTATCACCATTATTAGAATATGGATTGTTTCCCAACTTATCACTTCATATAAACAAACAATGTTACATACGCACATACATATCAATAATAATAATAATAATAATAATAATAATAATAATAATAATAATAATAATAAATTGATATCAATTGATTGATTAATGTTTAATATTTAATTGGTAGAGGCTTAAAGAAACACATTAATTGATTTAATTAAAGAATAATAATTAAATAATAAATAAAAATCATTAGTACATATGAATTAATTCAAAAAAAGTTTCAAATTTATTATTATTTATTTATTTCTACGAGTCATCCAACCAGATCAACAAAGACTTTTCCAAAATTCGTTTACTTTCTTTCCAATTACCGAGGAATCTTTATAATTAAATTCATGTGCAAGTACCACTTTATCGTTTCAAGAAAAATTATGTATTTTATTATGGTATTGATGTAAATCATGTAAATCATCGTTTTCTCATATTTATTAGTAGAAATAAAAGATGCAAAAATAAAAACTAATATTTACACATGGATGGATGCGTATCGGATAAACATCATCATCAATTATGATAATAATAATAATAAAGGAATTAATAAGCACGTGCCTATCCCCTTGTAATTGGATAAATTAATCCCAAACACCTTTCATTTACTCCTTTAGCTTCTAACTCTTCTAGCTCCAATGTTAACTATTACTATCATCATTTATCATATCGCTACTTACCATTATCGATCACTCCTTTGATCCGTTTGTTTCTTTAATGAAAAAGCCGAGAGAAACAAAAACCGAATTTCTTTAGCATTTAATTAGTACATTATTTATTAATTGATCGACTAACAAACGAATTATGAAAGAAAATAATTGTCTTATGTTAAAATAATCAATTTACCTGTTGTTTCATTGTATGTGCATACAGTCATCTTATTTCCATATAAAGAAAAAAAGCGAAAGAATTCGCACAGACCGTCGATACTAAAAAAATTATTTATTTATTGAAAACTGGACATACTTGTTTGTTCCGTATATATATATATTGTTTGATAGGCGAGAATTATAAACTACAGCTGACCTCATCTATAGTCACACCTTGGAACCGGAAAAAACAAGCGTGATTATAAAAAGTTATATAACGTGATTACCATTAGTAAGTGTTTCAAAAGTATGATGTGCTTATAAAGGGGGAGTAACTATAGAGTGTGACTATAGAGAGGGTCGACTGTATCTATACGGATATACGGATATACGGATATCTATAAATGTCAAATTAAATTGACAAAATAAACGGGAAAAAATATACGGCTTATCGAGTAGGAGACATATAACGTGTTAACACGCGATAAAAATTTTCATAAAAAAAATAAACGCACTAACTTTTTAATTAATATAATTAATATTAAGTTTAAATAAATATATTTATCATTTTGTTTCGAATTAATTAAAAAGAACCCCCTCTCATTCATAACATTTAAAAGAGTAAGTATATTATCAGTGTGTATTGTCGGATAGATCAATTCCTTAATTGGTTGTTTCTCCATTTTATTTTATTTCCTTACTTGCGCGTAATTTTTTTAATAAAGTTTGAGAACGTGGGTAAGTGCTTTTTCAATGGTGTAACATGACATATTCTCATATTTAGATAAATTAAATTCATATTCTGCATTTATATCTTTTAGAATTTCTCCTTGATTTGTCAAATACACACAGAATGAAATTAAAAATATATTAAGAAAATATAAAAACATAATAATCGCAATCAAAGCATGTTCATTTGTTGTCGATGTTGATGCTAATGACGTTAATGCTAATGATGTTGACGACGACGATGTTTCTATGGCCGTCGATGTTGACGTTTCTGCTGCTTCTACTACCACTTCTTCTTTATTACTATCATCATCGCCATCATCATCGTCATCATCATCATCATTTATATTTTTGCTTGTGCTTTCTCTTTTAGTTTTGCTTGCATTTTTCTTGAATAAAACTTCTCCTTTATTTTCAACTGAATCTCTTTTAATTTCATCATTATTTTTAAACGTGATTCCATTTCTTATGGCCCCAGTTAAATTTTTTTTTAATGGAGAACCACCGTTATTGTTGAATGGACTTTCTTTTATTTTATTTTCTGACAATATTTCCTCTGTATCATCTTTAATATTTCGAGGGAAAACTCTTGCATGAGTGCACACTTTGCATTTACTAAAATCATCACCGAATTCTATTCCAATCAAAGGGAAATAGCAAATATCCACAACATAATCATCCCAACAATCATCATCCCATTGTCCCTTCATGAATTTTGGTTCTATTTTGTCATTATGATTAAACCAATGTATTTCACATGGTGGCTCTTGAACCATCAAACGAAATTTAAATATATTGATAATATCTTTGATAAGATCTTTTGCCATATCTTCTGCAACCTTTCTTTTATTTCCATCTTTAATGTAACGATATCCTGACATTAACTGATTGAGTTCTTGTGCTGTGAATGTTATAAATGGATGGATATATTGTTCATTTTCTTTTTCATAAATTTCAGAAAATCCAAAGTCACCCAAGACACCATACACTTGTTGACGTATTTTTGTTGGAACAGCCTTGGTCACATTATTAATATGTTTTGAATGGTGAGTATAAAATTTATCAAAGAAATTTATCAGCTGATCTGTATGATTCATTATATATTTTTCTTGATTATACGAATCTTCTATTTCTTCTATTTTGTTATTATTTTCAATTTTAAAATAACCATCTACCAATTCTAGAACCTTTTCTAATACGTAACGTTGTAAAACTGATTTCATTAGAATTTTATCCTTTATACGTTGAGTATCTAACTGATATTTTCTATATAGTTCTTGAATTGCTTTAATTTCAAGGTCTATAGAGGGACCTTTTAAAGTAGTAACGTATTTCTCAAGTCTGTCCTGTAAAAGATTTATATCTGCTGAAAGTTGGACCGAATTATTATTATCTTCATCACTCAAACGGAAATTTAATGCATCCCCTAAAGCTGATTGATATGTCGAAGCTTCTTTTCTTAGAATCTCATTTGTAGCCTTTAAATTCTTATTATCAGCTATTAATTGCTCGTTTACACCTTTTAATTTTTCATTTTTATTTTTAAGTTCTTTAAGCTCTTTATATATATCACTAGCGTTATCAATCACAGTTTTTTTTTTTATATCCATTTTTTATTAATTTAATTATTTATACTTTTTAAAAAAACAAATTAGACTTTTATTCAAACAAGAGGGAAAAAAATAAAATATATATTACAGCATTCATTTATTTATTTTGTGAAGATCGACAAAAAAATAAAAATAAATAAATATTAATATTAATATATATATATATGGGGCATGCTGCAACAAAGTGAACATTAGTGTTACCAAGGATTTCAGGGATCAAAATTTAATCATTATTATCACAATCATGTTGTAATTATAATTTAACAGTCCAATTTGTTATCAAGATCTTAAGTGATATATAGAATTACCTCTATATAAAAATAGTTAATATGAAGTTAATTTACATCAGATCTACAATGGAATCCAAGAATTATAGTACCATTAGAAGTATTTTGAAGAAGGAACAAGGTGAAAAAATTGCTCCTTACATTTTCAAAATAAATGATACTCAGAC